ACAAGGATAGCGAGCTCGACTACCACGGAAGCATGGAGATTTGTCAACAAAGTTAAGGGCAGCAGCAAATCAAAGTCAAATTGGTACCGCGATAACAGTGAACCATATTAAGCACTTTTAAGAAGAAAAAAACTGGTAGTAAAGCAAACTGATTTTGGAGCTCATGACCTTAGTGATAATAATGGAGGTGGCAGATCAAGCTTTTCTTGGGAAGATCTTAATGCATTAGTGGATAGTGGTTTTAGTCGCTTTATCTGCTTCTAGTCGCAGCACTTTAGAGGAGACATTTTTCCATTTGCAGATTCATACGCAAATACAGTTGCGGAAATCTAAAAAAAAAAACTCTTCACTAAGCTTGAGTTCTTCAGTCAATTAAAAGACTTGTTGTTCAGAGATCTTGAACTTATTCATACAATAGGGGGAGTCACTATATATAAAGTGACCTTCAAAAATACTTTTTTGTCCTTTAAGGACAATAATATACGTAACCAAAGGCGGATTAAGAGCCCTTATACCAAAAGAACTGCTTTGGAAATATGTATATGGTGTAATTAGAGGAGTACCTACGAATCAACAGTCAGGCGCTTCAAGCGCAAGGACGATACGAGCAACTACACCAGGCTAACAGTTGATTTTTACATGCCGTCACTAAGACAGTGTGACAACTGCGGTCGTTTAGGACACACGAAACTGTCGGATAAAAACAAAGAACACTGTTTGACGAGTGGGCAAATAAATTGTAAGGAGTCTTGAAAGAGCCCCCAAAACTTCCGCTGTAGCTATTACAAAGCGCTTAATGAAGCTCACTTTACAGAAGTCCATTCTCAAGTTTTGCGAAATTTTTTATATTTGCTTGACTTTAGGGCATATATACACCGCAACAAGTCATATATATATCATAGAAAACCGTTGCTAAACGTTTACAATATGGCAGAGAATATAATTTTTACAGATGAGTCCACATTTAATTTATTTGGATCTGATGGGCGTCGGTTGTCGATTTGTGTAGCGCGAGGGTCAAGCGTTAAAAACCTAAAACCTATATCAGACGATAAAACCTGGAGGCAAACGTTATGGTTTGGAGTGCACTGCGCCCTAAAGAAATAATGAACAAAATGGACTACTTAGGAATTAAAAAATAATAATTTGGTTCGGTCTGCTGGCAAATTAAATATTAATGCGATTATTGCCTGGTGCAGAATAACGACCAAAAACATTCTGCAATAATTATTAACAAATGGTTGTTATATGACGCCAGAAAGTACGGCCGCATCCACCCCGATGTCTTGATCTTAACGCCATTGAGCACCTGCGGACGTACCTGGAGACCAAGTTGCGTGAGCGCCAGGTAAATAGTATAAATCAGGTTCACATTCAAATTATCATTTGTTGGCCTTTTATTTAATCAAGAAATGTTACTGGCGACGAGGATGGGATAATGAGTTAAACATAATAAAAAAATTGCGAAATTAAGAAAACAAAATTTTCATAAAATTCAACCCTCTGTCTTGGCTAACAGGATACAAGGAAAGGCGCCACAAAAACAAGAGTTGTGTGTGTGTGTATGGAAAACGAGTTGTTAAAAAAAAATTGTATTAAAGGGAGTGAGTAAAAGAAGTAATAGATCTCATTTTCAAATATGTGATCATAATGCACAGCCATTAATTAAACTTAAACAAAGTGCGCAATCAAACAGCTATCTGCTCGCTTCAAGGCGATTTACCCATAACGAAATTAACTTTTGGCACTTTATGCGCCCTTTGTTTGATAGATACTGGCGCTGCCACTAGTTTAGGCGATTTCAAACTAACCACACCTTTATCAAAAGCAATGCTCTTCCTTACATATTCTGTAGTCACCCAGATTGATAGTTACGGAATTTAACGATGAAAATAAAACAATGTCAATAAAAAGTTGGCTAATTTGTGAAATAAACATTTCAATTGCATTATAGCAAATACTTTGTTAAAACCTATTGGAGCTTTGATTTAATTTCTTCACAATAAGATTTCTGTAAACAAAAAGAAGCATCATTTTCGTATGATCAGATCAATTATTCAGAGAAGCAATTGTTTGGCCTCCAAAGTTGGCAAGCGAGTGATTTAAATTCAGAAGATCAACATAAGCGCAATATCATTTTTATTGCGATTCGCGATAACATAAATTTTCAACTTCTTGACTGAAATTTTTTTTATGGCATTTTGTTTTGAATCGCCAAGCGGTAAGGCTTCGAATTAACTACGAATAAAGAGGCCTGTATATGGATAATAAAAGTGCTGAATGCTGTATTCCAGCTAGAAGATCGTGGATGTCTTGAAGCTGTTATTGGATATGTGTGACATGTATCCAAATTGATATTTGGTTCAGCAGGTAGTGATAGATAGGATCGGCAACTACATCAATATCAAAATGTCAAGGTTTCAACATACCTACTCAGTGGTTTGACCAGAAACGATAAGGTCAAGGAGGACTTAAAACAAGTCAGGATTAACTCTGATTCTTGTATACAAGACATCGAGACGCAAGAATTCAAGAAGAGACACAAATGATATTCGGCCCTATGCTGAATATCGTCATCGTCATCGTTGACGATCGTCTAAGCGCATCGTCACATCGCTTCACTATCGCTTCGTCTATGTTTTGGTATGATGTACAGACGATGTAGACGAAACGTTGTGAAACGGAAAAATACGAAATTGTGTTCAATCAGTTGGATTTTTGTATTATTTTGATATTTAAATCAAATACATACATAATTTAAATTAATGGAATACGAGTTGTTGTTTTCAAGCTCAAGCGATGGAGAAGAGAGCAGGAATTTGTTGGTTCAACGAAGAATATCAAGGCAACACGCAGACATATTTGCCTTACCTGTTGTGGTACAACTATTTTCGATGGCAACCCTGTCCTGGGCGCACTCAGTTTTCAGACTTGGAGCTTTTTTTGATGGGTAAGCCCTCATATGGGGCAATTTTGCAGCACATTAGGCAAAATGTGCGCGGTACTACTGATTCCGTACTAATATTGAAAATAAACTCGGATAAAAAATTCTAGTGAAAAACTACAGCAGTTAGTTTGATTTGAAAATGGGCGACGACGCTGACGAGCCGAGTGGCTGGCTCCTCAGGTACTAAAGGAAATAAAAGAATACAAGATTGAATTCTTTGACGAGAGAGACATTCAAAAAAGCTAAAGTGGATGATCAGATAAATGGTCAAAATATTTCTAATATTTTTATAAAGCCATTAAACATAAATAGTGCGACAGTGAGTTCAAAAAAGATGGAGCAAAGAATTAATTTATATGAAGAGGATTATAAAGTGCCGTTTATTGTTTATATCGATGCAATACCGGCTAACGTTGAAAGAAAATCTATTAATGCCGTAGCAGTATCACGAGTTTAAAAAAAATTAAAATATGTAGACATTGACGACGTGGTCAAAGTGGGATATGGAAGGGCAAAGATTGTTTGCAAAACAGCGCAGGTAGCCAATGATTTGGCAAGAGATACGAGACTTGGACAAGAAGGCTACGAAGCAAGAATAATGTATCACAATATTTCAAAAATGGGCATTATTTTTGATATACCTTCTGATATTAGCACGGAAGAACTATTACAGGAAATTGAGTCGTCGATACCTATTCTAAAAATCATAAGAGTCGAACGTAGAGATAAAGATAATAAAGACACTAAAATACCAACTAGACGTGTTAAAATTATTTTTAAAGGTCTAGCAATACCAAAAACTGTTGTATACGGTTACACCAAAATTGAAGTAAAACATTTCATCGCGCTAGCTCAATGTTATAGATGTTACCGTTTTAACCACTATGCACAGCATTGCAAGGAGAGAGCAAATAAATGTAAGGATTGTTTCCAAGAGCACGGAGTGGGAGATAGTTGTCTGCCAATTGTCTGTGTTAATTGTAAAAGCAAGCATTTACCGACTGCGAGAGATTGCCCGGCTAGGGTGAAAGCGTATGTTATAAGGCGAACGATGGTAATAGAAAATAGAACGTACAGGGAAGCGCAAAAAAAGGTCTCAGAAATTATAGGCAACCGGTTTGATTTACTGGAAAACTACGAGGAAGAATATCCCCTGGCCCCAAAAAAAAACAGAATTAATCGAGTGTCCAACAATAATAATAAAGAAACAACCAACTTTAAGCATAAATTATTACCATATGCAAGAGTAGCCCAAATAGGCAATCGTAACAGACAAAGGGAGGAGTTGAATGCAACGCGGACAATGCAGGAATGCAGAGAGGCCATTCAACCTGTTAAGGTAGCAAAAATAACCATAGACTCCAACAAAATTGTTAGTACTGTAAGCATTTCTACATAGATAAATGTAAATAGTACCTAAGCGAGCATGTTTATTGTTAGCATTAAG